TAATACCCATAAGTACAGCAGGAAGTGCCTGTACCCATGTGTTGCCTTTCTCAAGTAACATTTTTGAAAGTCTAGATTTCAATGTTCGATTCATACGTTCCACAATCCCAGCAGATTGAGGATGATATGGAACATGAAATCTCTGCTCTATGCCTAGAATAGCACAGTGCTTGCATGATTTTCCCTGTGAAATGGGTACCTCTGTCTGACTCTAGAAGTCTAGGAAATCCCCATCTTGAGAAAATGTGTGTCCATAATGCTTCAGCCGTTTTTTGTGAATCATCTTTAGTCAGAGGAATTACTTCTAACCATTTAGAGAATACATCCACAACTACTAACGCATATTTTAATCCATTCTTACCTGTTGGTAATGGCCCAATAAAATCAATTTGTAAAGTAGTCCAAGGACCATTTGCAGGTGCTATACGTTGTATAGGCGGGTTTTGTCCTTTAGGTCTGGGATTTATTTGTGCACATATCAAACATGATTGCACTACCTGTTGTACAGTCTTTTCCATGTTATCCCAATAAAACTTATCTCTGAGTACCTCTAACAATTTCTGCTGTCCAATGTGACCTAAACTTTCATGATTATATTGTGTAAATAACACTTTTAGATGTTCTGGCATGACCGGACACAGTTCTCCGTTTTGGTCATGACACAAAACCCCGTTCTCATGAACAAATGGAGGTTTTGGATCAACCCGAGAAGCCGCAAGGGACGAATCCTTTGCCTGTTCTTCTGCAAAAGATGGAGGCTGTGTGTTAGTCTTCCTAAGCACTGCTACTGACATAGGCTCTGTCTGCAATGCATTTTCACCTGTTAAAGCTGCTCTTTTTGCAAATTTATCAGCTATTTCATTTTCTTCACTAAGTAAATCTTTACCTTTTTGATGGGCAGGAACTTTAACTATAGCATGTAAACATGGCTCTTGAGACGCAATTCCAAATATGGTCTCTAGTGTCTCTTTGTGTGCTAACACTTTATTTGAGGCATCTACGAACCATCTTCTTTTCCATATAGCTAAATGTTCTGTTAGTGATCTAACCACATATGAACTATCACTATATATCACTAGGGGACGCCCTTCTTTTTCCTCAAGTGTCAGTACTGTTTTTAATGCTTCTAGTTCTGCTCTCTGTGCTGACAAATGACCTGGCAATTTATGCTCTACTGAATATCCTCGTTTTGGATACCATATAGCATAACCTGTATAGTACTTCCCATCTGAACAGAATCTGGACCCGCCAACAAACACAGGTTCATCAGATTCACTTGCTTCCTTTCTGAAAAGAGAGAGAAAATTCTCTTCAACTTCTGCTAAACATTCATGGGGTTTACCCTCATATTGCATTAGTTGTGGAAGTACATACTTTGCCTTATGTTCTACCTTAATTTGCTTTGGTGATAGAGCTATTAACCATTGTGAAAATCTCTGATGTGACACACCTGGAATTCCTTTTTCAAGAAGTAATTTCAAAGGTGTGTGTGGTGTTTGCAGAATTATGTCCTTGAAATCCACTATGTGTTCAGTTGCCATTACCGCAAAATGTACTCCTACCAAATGTCTGGCACAAATTTCTAGCCCTCTTTCCACTGGGGAAAGAATTTTAGAAAAATATCCCACTATTCTCCATATCTCTTGCTGCAATTGTAATAGTACTGCGGAGACAGCCGTCTCTGAAGTATGTACTTGAATTGCAAAAGATGCAGTTGGATGTATTGTTGCTAAAGCAGGTGCAACCTGTAAGTCTCTTTTAAGTACCTCAAATGCATTCTGATGTTCATCTGTCCATGGTCTAAATGAAGATTCACTATTTTTCAAGAGATCATATAAAGGTTTGGCTTTTTCAGCGAACCCTTCAATGAATTCTCTGGTAAAATTCATTAATCCTAGGAACTGGCGTAAGGCCTTGTGTGAAGTCGGTACAGGAAGAGAAGAAATTGTTTTGATTCTTTCCTGCACTGGCTTCTTGTGTCCTGGACCAATGTGTACACCCAAGTATTGTACTTCTGGTTGCATCAGTGTTACTTTGCGTGTGTTCAGTTTTAAACCAGAATCCTCCAAAAGGAAAAATAATTCATTTAACAGAATCAGGTGTTCTTCCTCAGTTTCAGTCTGCAAAAGCATATCATCAACATATTGTAACAAGCATTCTGGCCTAGAAAACTTAGACAAAACTTTTGCCAATGCCTGATGAAAATATGTTGGAGAACTGTGAAAACCCTGGGGTAACACAGTAAACACATATTGCTGATTTTGAAAAGTAAAAGCAAACTTATACTGACAACTATGCTTTAGTGGTACAGAGAAAAACCCATTACTTACATCTAGTACTGAGTATACCTTAGCCATTGACGTCAATCGTGACATTATATCTGGGGTTTCTGCCACCACATGTGCAGAAGGTGGTGTGTATTTATTTAATGTACGTAAATCAATTGTTAATCTCCAGCAATTCGATTCTTTTTTCAAAATTGGCCACAAATTATGATTGCATGGACTATTTGCTTTTCTAATTATTCCTCTCTGTTCCAAATCATTAATGTCACTTGCAATAGAATCAATTGAATCTGGGGGTAATCTATACTGCCTCTGTGGGAGTGGATCAGGACCTTGAATGTCAATCAGCACATTTTTAAATCTTCCACATTCATTTTTACTTTGTGCCCATAAATCTGGATAACTCTGTACAATCTCTTTAAGTTCAAGGTTATCCCTAGTATTAGGCCATTGCATTTCTGTAGACACTACATCTACTGGACAAACAATTCCTAGCTCCCCATATTCAGTAGGGTCCAATAGCACTGGTTTCCTACCCTTAGCATCTTTCCAAATAGCTTTGTTTCCCAAATCAACAATCCAACCTCTTTTTTGCATAACATCTGTGCCTATGATATTATCAACATTTTTGCAGTACCAGATATCAATTTTTGTTTTTAAACACTGAGGTATTTCTAAAGTAACATTATTTACTAATGTTGCCATAGATCCTCCACTTCTGTCAAATCCTACAATTGTACATATAGGTGCACTTGGTGATAAAGGTAGTTGTAAACTAGTTATACTTAACTGAGCACCTGTATCAACAAGAAATTCAGTGTCATAACCTTTTAAAGAACATTTAATGTATGGTCTACCACATCCATCTAAATTTAATGGAGCCAAAAATTCAAGTGGACGTGGCCTGATTCCTTTAGATTGTCATTGTGAGTTTAAAATTTGGTCAGTCTGATTAGACATGTTAGAAATCCCACCCTGTCTGTCTCCTGTGTTTGAGGAAGCTACAATTTCTCTCACTTGCCTTATCAGAGGAGTATATGGTGAATCTCTGGTGTTTTCTACATTAGGATTATTGTGAATAAATCCATTTGATTTGCCATAATCCCTTGATTGTAAATCATGAAAATAACTCCTGCAGTTTCTCTTTATATGACCTGGCTTGTTACAGTAGAAACAGACCAGACTATGTGTCGAGTTTCTTTCATAGTGTGAGTGGGGCATATTAAAACTTGGAGCTTCTCTCCTCTTTGTCTGAGTTCTAGCAGCTGCAGGAGGCGAAGGAGGGGACTTTCTGTATCTGGGTTTGTCCTCTCCCTTTTCTCTCCTAACTGCACAGACAGATTTTTTAATATTTTGTTGTCTGGATTCCCTTCTCACCCTATCTAGAAATGATGCAGCATCTTCAATATTTTGACACTGGAGAGAGCATGCAATTGATATTGGATCAAGATATTTAAATTTTTTTACAAATGCATTTATCATAGATTTTGGTGTCTGATCATCAGGAATACTCATTACCAATCTGTATGCACGCTCAAATTTTAAAAGGAAACTGAAGACATCTTCATTTATAGTTGGTTTTTAATTTTCTAAAATCTCAATATCCACATGCTCATTTCCTGTTGTTAATCTTATTAATTGTGTCAATCTATCTCGCTAATTCCCATGGACTATTTCATCATCTTCATCATTAGGGGTACTTATGGGTGGGGTCAGTCTACGTGCAATGTATGTTGGCAGCCATATTTTAAACAATCTGTTCCTTTGTTCGTCATTCAAATTATGTTTCGATAAATTAGACTCAAATATGTCTGCATTACCAAAGGCATCCATTGATGGATTATATGGGGGAATATCTTTGGTAACTTTCATCAGCTGCTCTTGAATTTTTAATTTAAGTTTTGCAGCCTTATCTAACAATTTTCTACGTTGCAAATCAGCTTGGGATGATATTTCTGTGACATCAACTTGCTCTGGTATCAAATTATGATCACTCCTTGTAATCACACACAACTGTTTAGCTTCAGTTCTAAGTTTACAAATTAATTCAGATTTAAGATCCAGTTGTTCTCCCAAATCATAAATACTTGCCTGTAGTCTATCACAGTTAGTACATTTCATTTCTGTTACACATACAGATTTCTCTTTACTGTCTGTCTGTGTACTTTTTCCAAGGATCATTGTGTCAAATGTTTCTACCAATTTTAAAACATTTCTAATTTTCTTTTTTGTTTTATTTAAACATAACAATTTATTATCAATAGCTGCATTTGCTTGTTTACATTGTTCATACAAACTTGCCCACAATTGACTATCTGTATGGCATCTATCAAACACAAAATCAAGTTTACTTTTCTCTGCAATATCAGTAACAAAATCCATTATTACTCACCAGACAAGTTGATTCTTTAATGCACGACACCGTCTGCTTTTACTCGTACAGCTGCGCACTATGGATTTGAATTCTGGATGCTTGCCAATCTCTGCCACGTGCTTGCTTCTAGATTTCACGTTGTATCTTGTGCTGCTTTCTTTATAACACGTGCTTTTGTCTGTTGTAGAATATAA